TGTTTGGGCAGTGGTCGACGGGCAGTGACGACGACGGAGGAGCTGGTTGAAGGATCGTTTGGTGGTTTACTGGAGGTGGAAGGAGGTCGTCTCTTGGGTTAGCCTCCGTTAGGTTTTTTTTTGTTCCTGTTTGTTTTTTGAAGAGGAAGATGTACAGTAGTCCCTCCTTCCAATTTTTCCAAGTTCTCTCCGTCTTCAATTTTTAAAATCCTCTTTTCTTTTTAAATCTCCAAAGTCCTCCTCGTGCCTTTGTAGCTTTAGCCAAGACAACGGACCCCACGTGTGTAGGGGTCCAAGATTCATGTCCCCCATGTGCGGTGGGGTTCCCCGTGTATGAGATTCCGTCCGTATTCCCCATGCGTGTCCCCTCATGTGTGGTGGACTCGGATTATTATGGGCTAGGTCCGAAATTAGGCCTAAAAGCGGGTAATTTGAACCCGAATATTATTCTTTTGCCCGAACCCGATTAAGAACGCGACGTTGTTCGACTAATCTTATGTAAGCAAAATAACTACAAAAATAAGACTAATATTTAAACAAAACTATATCTTTTTTAATATATTTTTCAAGATTTAAAATAGCTACAAAATATTAATAAAACTATTTTTTTGTAATTTTCGTTTTTATATAAGGATAAAATATAAAGTAATATTTTTTGTATTTTTCAAAAATTAAAATGACTACAAAACATTAATAGAACTATATTTTTGGTTATTTTCGAAATTATATAAAGTACAAAAATAGAGTGCAATTTTTGTATTTTTTCAAGTTTATGAGAAATACATAAACTAAAATTTATATATATATTTTTTGTAATTTTTCTTTTTGCAACGAAATAAAGTAAAAATAGTTAAAATGGCTATATTAGACCCAATTTCACATATTCACGCTAAAAATGTGAAAATTCTCGGGGAGGGTCAAAAATCAGGTGTCTACAACAGACATGTCATTGAAAAGTATCATTGGTGACTTGAACAAGGGTGACAAACTAAATGGTGAAAATTACGACATCTGGAGTCGTAAAATGTGGTATGTACTCGAAGAGCAATATGCTATTGAAGGTATTAACCATGTTATGAGTCATCCAGAGGAGGGTGACACTGCCCAACACATAAGGGATCTAGAAACTAACAATATTTTGAAAAAGAAAGATTCCACTACACGTGAAATTATTGTAAGCTCAGTTGCTGATGATCTCATCCACGAATGTGAGCAATATCCTACTGCTCAGGCCATGTGGTCACATTTTAGAGAGGCATATGGGGGTACAACTGTAACTCGCCTTCGACAGCTGACAATCAAGTTTGACACGTACAAAAAATGTCATAATCACAATGTCAAGCAACATTTAAGGGTGATGTCAAATCTGATTGCTCAACTCAAAAGTGTTGGCCATGTTCTCTCTGATGAGCAGCAGGTTCAGGTGGTGATTCGGTCTCTTCCCAATAATTGGAAACATATGAAGGTTAACTTGACCCACAATGATAGCATTAAAACTTTTACTGATATTGCCCATCACGTGGAGCTTGAAGACGAGCGACTTGGTGCTGCTAAAGCTGTACCTAATGCCTTTGTGGAAGAATCAAGTAGTACAAAGAGATCAAGCTTCAAGCGCAAGAGAAACTGGAAAAATAACGAAAAGGGTAAGGAGACCGGAGAAGGATCTTTCAAGAAAAGAAACAAACCAAATTCCAAGAAAGGAAAATGGTTTTACAAGAAGAAAGACAAGATTAAGATGAAGTTCTACAATTGCCAAGTTCCAGGGCATTTTGCTCGTGAGTGCACTGAGCCGAAAAAGGTAGCATTTCAAAACGCATCTATTAGTGCTATATATGTTTCTAGCGTTGTTTTACTAACTGAATTTTATCCTCTGTGTATTGTAGACTCAGAGGCCACCGACCATGTAAGCATTAATAGAGAAGAGCATATAAAGTTTTGTCGAGTTTCACCTGGATCAAAGCATGTATATGTGGGTAATAAAGCAAAGCTTGAAGTCAAAGGGATAGGCACTTACAGAATAGACATGCATGGTGGCCGATCTTTGATGTTGCATATCGTCCTATATGTTCCAGAGATTCGGCGATTATACATAGAAGGATTATAATCTAACACAATAAAATCATCGTAACGATGTCCAAAACCATAAAAAATATTGTCTTGAGTAATTCTAAGACCATTGCGACTAAAGTTCACATTGAAATCTAAATCTAGAAGAACAGACACAGAGACTAAGTGTCGTCGAATCTCTAGAACATATAGGACGACATGCAACATCAAAGATCGTCCACCACACATGTCTATCCTGCAAGTGCCTATCCCTTTGACTTCAAGCTTTACTTTATTCCCCACATATACATGATTTGATCCAGGTGGAACTCGACGAAACTCTATAAGCGCTTCTCTATCACGGCTCACATGGTCGGTGGCCTCTGAACACAAGACACACAAGATAAGATTCAATTAGTAAAATAGTGCTAGAAACTTATATAGAACTAAGAGATGTGTTTTGAAATGCTACCTTTTTCGGCTCAGTGCACTCACGAGCAAAATGCCCTGGAACTTGGCAATTGTAGCACTTCATCTTACTCTTGTCTTTCTTCTTGTAAAACCATTTTCCTGTCTTGGAATTTGGCTTGTTTCTTTTCTTGGAGGATCCTTCTCCGGTCTCCTTAACCTTTCCGTTATTTTTTCAGTTTCTCTTGCGTTTGAAGCTTGATCTCTTTGTACCACTTGATTCTGCCACAAAGGCATTAGGTACAACTTTAGCAGTACCAAACCACTCATCTTCAAGCTCCACATGACGAGTAACATCAGCAAAAGTTTTAATGCTATCATTGTGGGTCAAGTTTTAACCTTTAGATATTCTCAATTGTTGGGAAGAGACCGAATCACTGCCTGAACCTGCTGCTCATTAGAGAGAACATGACCAACACTTTTGTGTTGAGCAATCATATTTGGCATCACCCTTAGATGTTGCTTGACATTGTGATCATGACGTTTTTTGTACGTGTCAAACTTGATTGTTAGCTGTCGAAGGCGAGTTACAGTTGTACTCCCATATGCCTCTCTAAAATGTGCCCATATTGCTTGAGTAGTAGGATATTGCTCACATTCGTGGATGAGATCATCAACAACTGAACTTACAATAATTCCACATGTAGTGGAATTTTTCTTTTTCAAAATATTGTAAGTTTCTAGATCCCTCCTGTGTTGGGCAGTGTTACCCTCCTCTGGGTGACTCATAACATGGTTAATACCTTCAATAGCATATTGCTCTTCGAGTACATACCACATTTTACGACTCCAGATGTCGTAATTTTCACCATTTAGTTTGTCACCCTTGTTCAAGTCAGCAATGATACTTTTCAATGACATGTCTGTTATTAGAGACAATATTACAAGTTTAACTCATCAATATATACTTCAGCCAATTTATGCATGTGATTACACACTCAAGTAAATTAATTATAATATTAATTTTACATTCAATATAGAATCGAAAGTTCACTACGTGTCCATTCATCATCTATCTAAATATTTTAATTAATATTAAAATTACTTCTTAGTGTGTACTTCATTTCAAGTCTCAATCCTAATGCAAAATAAAATAATAAATAATATATATAACTGGTGAGACAAACAACATAATTTAAATTTTATTAAGATAAATCACATAATAAGAGTTTACATGCTTGCTAGGACATACATGTATCAATCGAACATTAACTCTTGCACATATACGCTTAAAGATGCACTAAGCCAAACATCATGATAAATCTCAGTTAAAATTTCACCCTAAGGCTCTCGAAGAGAGTCCACTAAAATAACTAATGCTTACCAATTAATAATTTCTATGTAATTAGCCAATTCATCTCTTTTTAACCTAAAAAGGTGTACATGTTCAGGAATGGAAGCATTAGCGGCCCATTTTAAATTCCTTAAACTCGCTAAATTTCTTTTCTTCTTCCCTTCGTTCAGCCCTCTGATCACTTAACTCATTTTGCCTCGCCCTTGGGACATTCCGGATGACTTCAGGCTCCGATTCTGAATCATTATAGAAAAAAGTCATGTGGCGGCGTATTTTTTTAAGTTGTCCCCTTCCTCGACTTCGAGAACTCCCACTTAGAGTAATTCGAACTTGTCCTTGTTCAACCATGTCTGAAATAGAACCAAGGAAACAATAAGAATGACTACATCCACTTAATGTGAAAACATATGTCACAATAACTCATAAAAGTATATCAATGTAAGGGATTAAGGCCAAACTAATTTTCTATATTAAGTAGGTAGTGAGTTTAATTAAGGCCAAATTTCTTGGAATCACATGATATCATGAACAAATAAATGTGATAAAGACTTTGACTTGGTGAAAATAAAATTGTGTTGGTCCACAACCACCGGTAGAGAGGAACATACGGTCATAGTCATTTAGGATCAATAAGTATCAATATAAATGATTAAGACTTGACTAAGTTGCTTCTCATAAGGAACAATGAGTTTTCTAACAATTCACTAGATATTCAAATACATTGTCTTAGCCATTAATGGTCATGCAAGTGAAAACACATAAAGATAAGGCATTTTTATATCAGTGTAAGAATCTTTACAGAAACAATTATGTAGATTTTCCTGCAAATAATACAGTCATACTCTTTTTGTGTAGTATTGCATCCAATTGCACATAACTGACACAAAAAAAAAACTCACTTGCAAGTAGACAAAATAACAATATTCTGTAGTTCCCTTTTAATTATCTCTGTAGATAGAAACTCACATTTCCAGTTTCAACAATTGAAAACATATTTTGAAGACTTCAATATAATCATAAAATAAAACCCCCAATAGGAGAAGAATAAAGTTAACGTAGATAACCTTAACCCATTGAAAATCTTTGTCTTTATCTACGGGAATTGAAAGCACATTACATTATTTGTCTATTCCTTCAAAACTCTTGGCCAATGTAAAGCCACATACTCCAGAAGAAATTGAATTTTTTTTGTTTCCAAGTACCAATCATTATTCTGTCAAAATCAAATTTGATATAGTTTGTTCCGAACAATAGTATTTAACAGATGTCAAATACATATTATTTTCATATTCTAACAACGACAAACTTCCAATTAAAACCAAATAATTAAACCTCCAATAAGTTTTTTTGTCTCTCAGTTTTAACAAAGAAAACCCAACTAATCAGGGGACATCATAGATGCTTTAAATTACCGGCAAATTTAATTTTTCCCGGCCAAATTCCAAACACCAAGTCCGTTCGAACTCAATGGTATAATAAAAATTAACACATATTAAATTCAAACAGTGTATTCATTTTAAGAGAATACACAGCGATGACTTTGATACCAATATTAGTTTAATCATCACGGGGCGAGAACAACATTATCGTACTTGCCAACAACGCAGCGAACTTGTTGAACTCATCACCAAAATAATAGCCCCAAGTTGTATTCTGAATCTCCAGAAAATAGAGTTTTTGTTCACAAACTAGGTGCCTAAAGTTTATTGTGTTCTTTATTTTTCTTGCCAGGGAGAATCTCTGTACCGAAGAGAAATAAGTAGAGAAGAGGAGATGATGAGAACTATGATTACTCTTTGTTTCCACGCTGTCACTTCTTTTTAACGTGTGACACTTCTCCTATTCTTATGGGAGTTAATTAACTTCCCTCATAATATTAACTTCCATCAGCCTTATCTCTTATAAATGGGTCGGATGAGTCCACATGTGCAACCCGTAACTTAAAAACCCAATATCCTACATGGTTGAACTACTGAATGAGATTACTAACCGTGCTATCCACGAATATAATGAGAAAGAGTGCAATGTATTCCCCTATGCATCCTTGCTTTGTGCAACTAGTCTGACTATCTTTCCTTTATTTTCTTTGTGGCCATAGTTACTTCTATAAGTGATATACAGTGACTCTCTTTGCAGGTTTTCAAGTACAAGTTCTTGAAGATTGAGAAAGTGAACAAACAGCTGACGGAATACCAAAAATATTTCATGACTGCTAAAGTCTTGAATCTCACCTTTGCTACTCCTATAGAGACTTTTCAGATCCATGCTGCGAAACGTGTCTTTAATAATGATTAAGTTATCCTCGGTTGTTGCCGGTCGAAAGAAGAGGCAAACACCTAGCGAGGTTACTATTTTCCTTGTATTGTGTTGGGTGAAAGAGGTCATTTTTGAATGAATCTTGTATTTGCTTTCTGCGTTTCTGTGGCAATTGTAATTTTTGCTGCTCAATCTTTATGGGTGATTGTGTAATGAGATGGTTGACCTGTGGGATAGGCTTTCTTTGTTGAAAACACAAACGGAGTTTGCGGGAAGCCTAAAATAACATGCTTTACTATGAGCGCTTACGGTATGATGTAGGAAACTGTTTTCTAGTATTACCTTGGGTTGTGAAACATGGTTCCCCTAAGAAAATATTTTACACCTAAAAGGGTGGATATTGACTCCCTCAATCAATTTTCTTTACTAATCCTATATTTAATTCCATATTACTTTTACTCAACATTTCATGAGATTTAACAGGTGTTTTGTGATATTTCATGTTTGATACTGTTTCTGGCCCTTGGCTGGATAGAAAGACAAAAGTGATTATTAAATATGAAAATCGGAACTTCTGTTGATTCTCGTTTTCCCCTTCTGTTCTTCTGTTGCATGAACTACCTTAAGTGGAAATCCCCAATTTTTAATTCAGTAAATGATGGTTAAAATCTCTCTCTTGCACAGATGAAAATTATGTTTATGCTTGCAGAAATTACAAAGTTGAGTTTTGGATTATGACATTGTGATAAATTATGGAGTAGAATTGACTGGACATGGTTCTTAAGCATTTGTTATCTATGGAAGATGCACTTGTACTTGATAACTAACACTACTTTGGTTTGTTTCTCTGAGCTAATTTCCAGGCAGTTGAGCTGAACGGAGAGAAAGGGAAAGGTACTTGAACTAGTTATTGGGCACCTGGATTATAGTTTTCTAACTCTGGACTGGTTGAGATTTCATCATTTGTAGTTTATGCGTATTACTTTGATATGTGTGATCTGGTCTTTTTGTTAATTCAAGTGTTTGATAATATTAAGCACCTGACTATTGTTTTTACATTTACTACTGGTTGTAAGCACTTTACTTTGACAAGTTTATATGACAAAAAAATTGACATCTTTACTACTTTTCGTATCTCTAATTTAGTTATTACTAAAGGGTGGAGAAGTACGTAGACTATTCTCAAAACTATTGTGAATCTTATTCTTTTTCGACGACATTCTTTCTTATTAGTGATTAGTCTTGCACTATTGGATGTAGATGTTAATTGAAGATAGCACATGACTTCTAGCTTCTATTTTCCTGCCATTGTATCATAGTAGAAATTTGAGATAAGTTTATGAAATGCATCGTTGGTCAGTTAAACTTTGACATTGTGCAAGGCCTGGAGTAGGAGATATTGTAACAAACCGAATAACAACCAAACCAACTAGCTATATTGATTCATTGAAGGGACTTACAAATACTGAAAATTACAATAAAACAGTAAGGGATAATTGAGAGATAACAGAGAGGGATGAGAAGACAGAAATACACCATAGAAGAAGGGGATGAGAAGCTTAGACACAGAGCAAGGAGATGAGAGGAGCAGATATTTTCTTCTTCAACAACATGCCCCGTATCTTCCCTGGATCCCAAATATAACGTGCTAGTATTCTGTTTGCTTGTTCAATCATTGGGCCTTTTGCTCTTGGCCTAATAGTCCCAAATGGGTCAGCCCCATTCCTCATTTCTGGCCCATAATCCCTTACCAAGTAAGGTTGGTTCACAACAGATATTGCCTCTCTAAATGGGAAAAACTATACGAATGCTTTCATGGCATGTACTTGTCAACATTATGCAGATAATACTGATGCTGTGACGCTATAATGGGATTAAAATAGTGGGAAAATCCACTACTAATGCTTTCACAACATTTTAGTGAAAGATGTTGCTCATCTGTACAGGAATTTTTGTAAATTGAATGGGTATATGCCCATTCAACAAAGGGTTGTAAGGGTCAAACGACCAAAACTAGTACTCTTCCAATTCATGTGAACTTGTTTGATTGGGCACGCAGTTTAAGAAAAAATGAAGACTTTTAGAATTTGTGGTCTTAAACAAATCAAAAAAGGGCCCAGAGTATTTGTGTGATTATAAAAGCTTCTCATTAAGGGTGGAATTGTAAGCTTAAGCTAAATTGTTACCAAATTTAGAAAGGGATCATTCGTTTTGGAACGGACCGAAAAGGAAATATGTTCACATAAACTAGAACAGAGGGAGTAATAGATATGTAATAAAACCACAAATCTGTCCCATAACACAATGTAGG